GGTATATGGGCTGTTGCTCTACCACTTAGCAACACCAGCCAGGGCTTGATGGAAACCTCTTTAAGCAGCGCATGACTGTGCTTTATGAGTGCCCTGGGAGGTCCAAACCAGTGCCTGAACTCCAGGTGGAAGGAGAGTACTGCGAGTGCGGAGCAAGGGCTCCTGGAGAAGGTGGCATCTAAGCTAAAACTTGAAAGTTGAGCCTAATTTGGCCACAAGGTGATGGAGGAAGGATCCCAAGCAGGCGGAGGATGGTGTGTGTGTGTGTGTGTGTGTGTGTGTGTGTGTGTGCTGGAAGTGACGGTTGGGGGTTGGAAGGAATTGCCAGTTGTCTTTCAAGCCAGAGCCTCTGCCTCTTGGTACCTTCACCCCTCCCCACCCCCAACACTGCACTCAGTAGAAGCTCAATCCATGTTTCTGTTGATTATCAGAGTGGGATGATGTGTGTGCCAGGATAAGAAGGCAGAGCGCCAGAGCAAATGCTTCAGGAAGTAAATAAAGCGTGGAAGCCTGGTGACGTTCAGGGAACAGGAGCTTCGGTGTGGTTGAAATGTGCGTTTGTGGGGGACAGGACTGAGAGCTGATCACCACATCTCCAGGTTATACAATGACCTGGGCTGTTATGCCAGTGAGATCTGGAGCCACCCAGGTCTGTGTGAGAGACATGCAATGCCTTCTGCAGGATGGGCAGAGAGCTATGGGTAGATCCAGGTGGCAGGACTCCTGGCACCAGGCTGGGTGGGAAGCTACAGTGAGATAGGAAGGACTGGCCACCCCAAGCCCCCATTCAGGCTGTGGCCTCTCCACTCCCATGCCACCTACCAGCCACCCGCTCGCTCAGGGCAAAGGTGAGGAGGAGTCCTGAGGCACAGGGATAGACAATGGGTTTCAGAAACCCAAGACAATACCCCAATTCTGTTTCACCCTGGACAAGGCCTCTCCCATGGCCTGAGGCTTTGGAGAAGCCACAAGGGGAGCATGGCTGGGCCTCCCCAGAGGAACAACATCCACTCTATGTATAATCTGCACCCCAATTCTCCCAACTCGACACCAGCCTGTGATGCAGGCTCCCAGCAATGCACTTACTGGCCCAGGGTCACACAGCTTGTGAGTAACAGGGAAAATCCAGATTCACATCCGAGACTGTCCATGCTCTTTGCCTCGCTTTCCCTGGGCCCCTGTGATGGCAAAACTTGGTGTTTCCACATTAGATGGCTACTCTTTTTTTTTTTATTGATTTTTTTACAGAGAGGAAGGGAGAGAGAGTTAGAAACATCGATGAGAGAGAAACATCCATCAGCTGCCTCCTGCCCACCCCCTACTAGGGATGTGCCCGCAACCAAGGTACATGCCCTTGACCAGAATCGAACCTGGGACCCTTCAGTCTGCAGGCCGATGCTCTATCCACTGAGCCAAACCAGTTAGGGCTGGATGGCTACTATTTTACTGAGACACCATCCCCGCCCCCCAGCTTTGCTTCTACAGCCCCCTTCTCGGTCATAGGCCCTTGGGTCCCTGGCTGATCCTCTTTTGAGGACCAATGTTGGGGCGCTAGCACACCCCCAGCAGCAGGTGCAGTCGATGATGACTTCCTAGCAGAAGCCGTGTCCTGAGGCCGGTGGGAGGTCTCCAGCCGTCACAGAGCTTTGCTCCCGTCGGCCTCACCCCCTTTTCTTTCAATTAACCCTGCAAATAACCGTTCCTTTTGTCATGGCTCCTAATGGACTGTGAGCAACACGTGGCAGGTGCTGAGACTGTCCTTCTTCAGCCTTGCTTGGGGTCTTTCCTGTGCCAGGTCTCTGCACTATCTCAGGGAGGAGTCATAACCAGAAAACGCCTACTGTGCACTTTGACCAGTGACCCTCCTGGAGAGGGCCACCGAGAGCAGCCGAGAAAGTACTAGGGAGGGAGGAGATGTTCCCAGCTTACAAGAACCGGCTTATCCTCAGAAGCAGGTGGTAGATAAACTAGAGATAGAGCCGGGGCTGGGGCCCAAAGGTAGCTTTTAGGAAGTTCAGACCTGGACACATGAGACAGGCATCAGAGAGAGGCTCCCGAGGCAACCGGGGTGGAGCAGGCTTGGCCTGGAGCCCACAGGGGCACAGCCCAAGTGGTCCTGGAAAGACGAGAGGATTGGCCATAGCAGGGAGCAGGAATGATTTGTGAGACCAGGGATTGAACTGCCCAGCCTAGAGGAGAGAAGGTGGGGTGTAGGGATGGCTGTGAAATCTTGATTGAAGAAGAGGGCAGGAATGTTCTCATGCACAGAGGGCCACAGGTAGCAGGGCTAGGGAGGCACACGGAGGCTGTTTACCAGGACACCTCCACCCCCACCCCAGGGTGAACGGTGCAAGGTGATGCAGCACCTGAAGCGCCCTTCTTGGGTGGCTAGCTTGCCCTGAGACCATAGGGAGAGGTGGAAAGGGGTCCCACACGGAGCAGGAGGGCGGGCATCTTGCTCACAGCTCTGAGAATGCAGGGCCCAGAATCTGACTGCAGGGTTCCTGACTGCTCCCCACGTTGACACTGCCTCTCCAGTTGGGCCCACCCATTTTGTCTCATACCCCCCTCAGCGCCTTGGAAGGTGCTCCATAGGTGCTTAAACGACCCCTACAAGACCCTCTCCTTGCCTTCCTCTTTTGCCTCAGCTCTCACCATTCCTGCCTCGATTCAACCGTGTTCAGATCCTCACCTGGCCCTGCATTGTCTAAAACCTCTAGGGCAGCGGTTCTCAACCTGTGGGTTGTGACCCCTTTGGGGGTTGAACGACCCTTTCACAGGGGTCGCCTAAGACCATCGGAAAACACATATATAATTACATAT